TAGTAAACAGCCATCAGTGTGCTAATGACCCATTGTTAGGCTGATGGTCCTTCTTGAGCATGTGATCAGCTGGTTTTGGTTGTCAGCAGCAAACTGGTTGATCCACTCTGAGAAGGTGCTATTTAAGAGACTGAGCTGAAAACAGCACCTCAGACTGAGGAAGTCTCTTGGATGAGAGACGAAACGTTTCTAGATTTTTTTGCTTTGTTTTTTTTTTTTTTGAATGTCAAGAGGACCAGATTGAATGTTTTTGGATCAACAAATGATGCTGATTCATGATGCTGTTTTACTACTCACTGTTCATTGTACTCATTGTGGAAAAACCTCTGAGGTGTTTACAGAACAGCTGGTATAAAATACACAAAGATGAAGTCTATATATCAATCAGGTGACTTCTAAAGCAAATTGGATTTTAAGGGGATCAGAGTAAAGTAGGCTGAATACAAATGTGCGCTATACTTTATAGAATATTTAGTTTTTTTCAAAACTACATATCATTTTATTTCCACTTTGTTTTAATGTGACAAAATGCTGAAAAGTTGAAGGGTTGCATTTACTTTTACAAAGCCCCGGTGAATTACTTGCTACCAATCTGCTAATAAAACCTGGATAAATCGTACTGGTATGTGCTGTGAGGCACAACACACCTACATTACATAATAAAGACTGCATTCTGTTTACAGCCCCTTTGATAGCTATTTATGCACATGGTAACAAATAGCTTCCATGGTTCAAATACATCTAAATACAGATCACCAGTAAATGTTGGGTTTTAAGAAGTGTTTCTATCGATGCTGTGCCACACTAGCATTTTAGGCCCCGCACGCATTTTCCATGATTGACGTGAACATGAGTGGAAAAATGGGAGGGAATAAGCAGCAAAGGTGGGTGCACAAACTGGAAAGAAAACATGTTTCTCCTACAGAAAAAAAAACAAACATAATCACATACAGACACCTACACGTAAACACACTGCTTCACAAAATAAAACCCATACTAGACCGTTGGATTCAAAGGAAATAGTGATATACCAAAAATGAATAAATAAATATTGAAATTTATTACGTTTTTAATTAAATTTTGTTTCATTATCATTATTTATCATAAGTGCTATCCCATTAAAACAGTTATGCTCAACAGCAACAGAAGTTAAAGGTGGCAAACAACTGGTCCAGGGTTCTGGGGTTTACACCAAAAATATCAAGAGCCATATCAAATCAAAGTAAAGAAAGAAAGGAACACTGGAGAGCACAGACATTGGCTTGGGTTCAGTCCAAGGGGAGAAAGGTTTTCAAGCACAGGGAAGAAGGTGAAAGAAGAGTAGGGTCTACCTTGTAGGCGACTCTTGGTGGACATTTCTTTCCCAAACCTAAGGGTGGGGACATATGGAGCAGCATCTGATACATATCGAGGTACTTGATACGGCCACTTCACAGGGTTGAAAATCAAACATAAAGAGAACACAAAAACAGAAGGATGGGGGAGAAATCAACAGGGGAACAATGGAGAGGAAAGACAGAAATCTGTTGTCAATAGATTTCCTAGAGTGAGATGTAAGGTGGATGCCATCCTTGGCCACTATGTCAGGGCACAAGGATGCATCACTGTGGATACAGGACACCTGAGAGGAAAGCTGGAATGGCACATAGTAAGTCTGGTCAGAGAAGAGAGGAGGGGAGGACAGGAAACAAGATTAACAGGAAAGACGGGCCCAGTACGCATGGTGAAGGGTTGAAAGAGAAATTACAGCTTTGTAATGAAAATTTCTGCAACAGCATGCCAACAGACATCTCACTGGTACTTCATTCAGGGTGCCGGAGACAAAGGTTTCAATGCCAGTTGGAACGGTTCTGTTTCTGTTTTGAGCCTGGTTTACACTGAAATAACATTCAAAAGACTTTTGAACTGATCTAAATAGACTGACCACGTATCCTTCATGTAGAAAGGTAAAATTTGAAATTGTGATGTATCTAAAATATTTCTGCTTTCTAAACATTATGAACTACAAAGCTGGCATGACAGGTGGCATGTTGGTACAATGCCGTAGCTTTGAAAGCTTTGTTTCCTCTTCGGCATCATCAACCAAAGCCAGACAGTTTAGATGGGTGAGTGCTAGTGGATAGGCGATTTCAGTGGTGCACAGCCATTCAATAAAATGTATTTTGGCATAGAGGTACACAAAGCACCCTGGAGATGGAAATGTCTGGTAATTTGCAAACCTTGTACGCTACCCTATTAGGGCAGTTCTTTCCTAAGCCAAGGGGGGGTGAGATAACACGTAACAAATAGTACATATCCATATAGGAAATCCGTCCACTGAAAAAAAACAAGCACAAAATAAATGTTCAGGACATCTTCAAGCATTGAGCTCACTGCATACAACAAGGTATTAGAACGAGGCCAGGGTAGGAGGCTCTGCTTAGTCCCCTCAGCCACAAACAGGGTTGGGAGAAATATGGTTAGAGTTCTGATTCTCTCCACTTGTATGATGTAAGCTGTTTGCAGAGCCTTAAACGTACCAAGCAGCAGGGTCGTACTCGGCCCAAACCCGGATAAACTCATCGAGGTGATGAGGTCCCAGGATGGAGGAGTCTCTGGTAAGGTACTCAAAGTTATCCATTATGACAGCCACAAACAGGTTCAGCATCTGGAAGATACAAAGTAAGAGGGAATTGGGCCTTGGTCTGGTTGCAGTACTGCCGTGATTCATTAAAACACAGCTCATTCAAGTGTTGCTTTACGCTTTAATCAATTTTGTCATGACCAGTTAGTGATGACTGCTGCACTAAGGTGAAGTGTAATTAGATTTCATACAAAAAGGTTCTGATACTGGTCTGGGTTAGAAATGTAACAGATGTAGGCAAAAGCCAATTTGTTGAGGCAGTAAACTGAACAAAAAAACTCCAATTGGCCATTAAAAAATTGATTAAAATGACCACGAAAACCTCACAAATTTCAAGAGAAATTAAATTAGCCTCTCAAACAACAAGCAACATAAACAGGTTGTTCATTCTCTAAACTAATTAGTTTTCATAGCAACACACTCTGAAAATACTAAAATTACATTAAACAGAGTTACTTACAAATTATTTTACACCTATATAAAGTCCTGTGAGCTGAAATATTTTGATAACCTTTGCAGATTTAATTAAGTTGACAGCACTAAATGAGCGTAATGCTACTGACCAGGAAAGAGCACAGGAATATGAAGGAGACAAAGTAGAAGTAGGCAAAGTCACTGCCGCACTCCTTCCCGTGGGTCCCTGAGCGCTCATCGCAGGCTCGGTGGCTCAGACATGACAGCATGATCTCATGCCAGGCCTCTCCGGTTGCACTTCTGATGTATAATTTTGAAAGAAGAAGCAAAAAACAGAAGTATTCAACAATAGCTGAGAGATCAACAGGGAGTATTTTGATTTATTTGAGTTTTTTATGTATTTGTTATTTCATTAGCTCGCTCATCATGTAGAAAGGCTTTTTCTGCACCGTATAATTTTTTCCTGACACGTCAGACCACATAAGATCCATTGAGATCACACTTAGTCAAAATAAGGCCCCCTTATCCACGTGATGATAGACTGTGCTCCCCTCTGTGAAGGAGGAGCCTAGGTCCTATATATTTGTAATGCCATGTGACATCCGGCCTTCTGGTCCTTGATCTTACGTCGAAAATGCATTGGAGGCCATCGCTGTAACTGTAATTTTTCTTGCCTTGATTTAATTCATCCATCCATCCATCCATCCATCCATCCATCCATCCATCCATCCATCCATTATATTTACCCGCTTTTTCCATTTTTGGGTCACGGGGGTTGCCGGTGCCCATGTCCGGCAATCACTGTGCGAGGGGCGGGGTACACCCTGAACGGGTCGCAAGTCCATCACAGGGCCACATAGACAAACAACCATTCACTCTCTCACTCACACCTAGGGACAATTTAGAGTTACCAATCAGCCTAACATGCATGTTTTTGGTCTGTGGGAGGAAACCGAAGTACCCGGAGAAAACCCATGCATGCACGGAAAGAACATGCAAACTCCACCCAGAAAGGCCCCCGGACCGGGATTTGAACTGGGGACTTGCTCCCTGAGAGGCAGCAGCTTTACCAGTTGCACCACCGTGCTGCCCGCCTTGATTTAATACAAATGGTAAAACTGAATTCACATTTTCCTTGATTTATTAAGATGGTGTGAGTTACTACTTCTGAGGGAGGTCTGAGCCAGGTGCCTCCTGAGCTAGAGGTGGGCCTGGGGTCCGGCAGGACACACAATTAACCAGTAATGGCCAACAAGCTTTTGCAGTGCAAGCTGCTGTGGGCCCCGAGCTACTGCAGCTAACTGTGGGCCTCAGGCCTCCTCTCAGACCCCAGGTCCGCCTCCAGTTCATGAGGCCCGTGGCTCGGACCTCCCACAGAAGTATCACTCACACTATCTCAATTAAAAAAAAAAAAGGTGAATTAAGTTTTACCAATTGTATTAAATCAAGGCAGGAGAAAAACGTTGGTTACGTACTGTAACCCCAGATTCTATGAATATAGGCGTAGCCCTTTAAGAGCTGTCGCTTAGTGGGTTTATCCCGTTATGCGCTAGCATCATACTGAAAAAATTAGTCCACGCCCACCTGCTGTGTGGGCCCCACCCGATCCGTATAAATTACATTAAGAGCGGGTAATCTGCTCCCAAATAGCTTATTCTTTTCTTCAGCTATTCAGGAGCCAGTGAGGCCCGACGCTTAAAGGGCTACGCCTATATTCATAGAATCTGGGGTTACAGTACGTAACCAACGTTCTATTTCATATAGGCTTCGCCCTTTAAGAGCTGTCGCTTAGTGGGTTAAGGGCGAAGCGGATGTGGTCCTCGCCTCACTGGGTCCATTCGAACACAGTAAGAAACGGAAGCTTGCCCAAAAAACGTCTTGTCACTCAGCTCCCCATGTGCATAACTACGCATCGCGTAATTGTGTGCCATGCACAGACGCATGTTGTGTAACTATGCGTTCTGACAAAGCATGAATGCCCCGGAAAAAAATTTTCAACGGGGGAAGATGTTGAAAAGAGGAGGGGGTGGGGGGGGCATGAAGCAACTGATTCATGATTGAACAGTATAAACAGATTAATATCAATGAACTGATTATTGAACAAATGAACTGATTGGTAACCATAGTCATGAACTGATTAGTGACAATAGAACCAAAATCACAAACACAACTTGTGACTGATAACAACATCTCACACTGTGAAGCATGCAGACAGATGTGAGTTTAAACAGAGTTCCATGAGAACAACAATATTCATTCTGTTAGAGCACTAAGGACAGAATGTGTCATGGAACGAGCCGTTACATCACGTAGGTAAAAGCGAATAAATGAGCAGGGTGTTGACCATGCAGCCGCAGTGCAAATGTCCTGCATTGACATACCATTATGCAGAGCAGTCGAAGATGCGATACCCCTGGTTGAGTGTGCTTTGAGTTTGACAGGAGGCTCTAGATCTGATGCTCTGTAGGCTTCAGAAATGGCCTCACACAGCCAGTGTGACAAGCGCTGGGTGGATAACGGGCGGCCTGCAGCCTGAGCCTGTATCAGCGCTTCCTGTCTGGAGTGAGACAGGAGCAGCAAGTCGTCCAGGTAAAACAAAACTCTCATCCCTGCTCTGTGCAGTGGATGCAGGGCTGTCTCCACACACTTTGAGAACGTACGAGGCGCGAGGGAATACCCGAAAGGCAGCCTGTTGTACTGGTACTTCATCCCTTGAAAGGCGAAACGCAGAAATTTTCTGTGTTTTGGGATGATCGGTATGTGAAAATAAGCATCTTTTAGATCGATGGAAACAAACCAGTCGTTTTTCTGGATGTTGTCCAACAGCTGTCTGTTCGTCAACATGTGAAAAGGTCTGTTCATGATTGCTTTGTTGAAAGCTGACAGATCCAGAATCGGTCTCATCCCTCCGGTCCTTTTGGGGACCAGGAAGTAGCGTGAGTAAAACCCTGTGTTTTCCTCTTCGTTGGGAACTCTTGAGATTACACCTTTTATCAGAAGCTCTTGGACTTCTGCATTTAAGGCTGAGACTTGGTCTGGTGATGACAGGACCGTCTCTATAACTCCTCCGAACGGAGGGGGTCGGGTTGCAAACTGCAGCGTGTAACCCTTGCATAACACTCTGTCCATCCATCTGTCCGGCGAACAGGTTTTTTGCCACTCTGCGTAACGTTCGTGGAGTGGACGTGCGTTTAAATGATGTGCCGTGTTTTGAACGGATGTCATCCAAACCTCCGCCTCGACCGCCGTCATGCGTCGCGGAAATGTTTTCCGCGTGACCCAAGGCGAGGCTTCCTCGAAAGGGCTGATCTGCGCGCGCCCGTGCGCTGTGTCTGGATCGCGGACCAACCTTCATGTCCGGGCGGGGCGGTGTGTGCTGAGGCGAGGCGTGTGTCAGCTGATGACGTCGTGAGGCTGCACGTTTAACGTCGCTGTGCGAACGTTGAGAGGTGGAGGGCGTGACGTCATCAACGCCGTGCTGTCGAAGTGAAGGTTGTGAGCCTCGCGGGAGCGCACGTTTTCTCTGGAGGGACGCGCGCCGCTCTCGTTGAGGGCGGGGCCCGTCATTGGATTCATTCAGCTGTCTCACGCTTATGCCGCCGTGAGCTGCTGATCGCTGAGACGCGATGGATGACGGCCGCTCGCGTTCGCTCAGGAGAGGCGTGTGTTGTTTTCGCTGAGAGCGGGGACCTCCACCGGACCCGGCCTGCGGTCCCACATTTATCCCGATGTGAGCCGGTGAGCGCCGGGCAGCTGTGCGTGCATCATCAACACAGCGCCGTTTGGATGGAGGCTGTTTGCCTCGCTCGGGTGCGCGTTTAACACCGCTTGGGTGGTGATCGAGCGGTTCTGATTGACAACAAATTATTTCGCTTACCGTGGTGTCACGTGAGCGTCTGGGCATGTGATGGAGCGACGGTGGATTTAAAAAACCTTTATTTAAGGACACCGGCTCTCTCTGTGTGGAGGATGTGTGTGTAGCGGCTGTGAGCTCATCCAAACTTACAGACTGGCTAAAAACAGGCATTTTGATCTTTGAAAAATCATTTATTTCAATTCCTGTGTCATTTATACACACATCCTCCGCAGACCGTCATTTCTTAAATCTTCTCCCTCGAGAGCTCTGCGGTTTGTTTGCCCCGAGCGCCGTCTGCAGGCGATCTCTGGGGAAACGCTGAAGTGCAGGCTGCCGGACTGAGGAGGGGTGGTCTCTGGCGGGCGGGGCTGGTGGTGGAGCTGGGCGAGATGAAGCTGCTGCTGCCGTGGAGCGTCGATGTTTCTGCCTCTGCTCTCGACGGTCTCTCCAGCGGGCTGGGGGACGGGATGAGCCGCGCGGCTTGATGAGATGGCGCACAGCTTCCGACATCTCCTCCGACTGCTTCGAATTCGCCAGCATGGTCTTCAAGCTGCTTCCGAACAGCGCGTCCGATGAGATGGGGCCCTCCATCAGGTCTTTGTGCAGCTTTTCCGGCAGCAAGGGAGATTGACGAAGCCAGGTGGACCGTTGGATTACCGTCATCCACGCTGCAATCCTCGACAGGCAAACCGTGGAAGCGGCGCACATGTTGAGGATGGCGTCTGCCGATTTACACAGGGAGCTCTTTGTCTCCTCCGGCAGGTCTGAGGCCTCCAGCCTTTTCGACATGCTAAATGCTAACAGCGCCACGTTGTTGTTAGCCGCGGCCGCCTGAAAAGCACACTGGTGGGCTCTGTTGGAGAGCGCGGTCACCGCCTGGTCGTGTTTCCCTGGAGGGACGGGACGCTTCTCCAGCCTGGACAGCTTCGCTCCGAAGGCTTCCGCGAGGCTTGGCTCAAGGGGGGGTACCGAGGGATAGCCCCGCTCGGTGAACCCCTCCACTCTGGTGATGGGGGCGTAAGTGGAGACAGGCGCCCTTAACCTACCAGGACCGGCTGCGGCCTCGTTCCAGTACGCTGTCACCGCTGGAAAACGAGGCCAAATGGGATCAGGACGGCGAGCCGGCGTGGAGCCAAACCTTCCCGCAAGATCATCCGATCTGAGCGGGGGGGTGAGGGGACGGAGAGCCCCTTTACGCTAGCAGCTTCCCGGATAATGGCGGGCAGCTCCGAGAGGAGCGCGCCCACGGCAGGGAGCGGTGTGGTCGCTGAAGCGGGAAACCCCGGGGGAGTCGAGCATCCGCTCGGCCTCCCTCTTTCCAACACTGCGCTCCCCGGGAGGGAACGAGCGTCGGGGCTGCTGCTAGCGTCACCGGTCCCAGAGGAATCATCCGATTCACTCCGAGAGCCGGCGTCGAAGAAATCCATGGCGTCGTCCAGCGAGC